ATATTAAATTATACATTTCACTAACAGTTTAAACTTTTAGTTGAGGTGGTCATTCAACAATTTAAAAAAAAATGATTTTTTGCTTTCCGAATATTAGTCTTATAATGTGAGTATCATTATGTATTATATACAGGTACCTAAAAAAATAGAAATTTCAAATTCCACTTTGCCTGATCCGAAAATTTTCAATTTTAGAATAGTTTTTTTCCTTCAATTTTTTAAATTCCAATTTTTGCAAAAAAAATCCACGGAATTGTATTTAAATTTTGACTACAAAAATTAGATTTTTGCTTTCTCTTTCGAAAGTGCTAATTCTGATATGATTCCTGCAATTCCCATCCCTAACGTGAATCTTTTCAAAGAGGAAAAAAAAAGGGACAAATATTGGGAGCACGAGATAATGAATTAAACTTATATAACACAACTTTTGTTGCTATGAAATTAAAAAAAAAAAAAAAAAAAGGATAAATAAATCTATATATAATTAGATATTGTTTGCAAGTGAGAAAGTTATAAAAAAAAAAAAATAGATCTCATCACAATATATGTGGTTTATTATCTGTCTCTTTCTAGGGCAATTGGATTATATCCATTAAGATTGAGTTTTTTCAATTGCTTTTCATGCACCTCTGCTTGCTGCCTCCAATTTCATTTCTAGTGGACTGCACCACAACTTTTACTTCCTTTTTTCATTCATCACTCCCACCTTTTTTTTTTTTAATTAAAGAAAATTGTGGAATAAAGGTCATTTAATTAGCAAAACATACCTTTCTCCCACATTTTATTTATTGCCTTTTTCATTTTTTTTCATTTAAGAATTTACTATATCAACCTTGTATTATTTAGGACTTAGGAGTAGGGTTGTTCATTCGGTAATACCGTATCGGAATTTCGGTACTTTGACAATTTGTATCGTAACCAAACTATTGGGTTCGGTATAGTTTTTTACTGAATTAATTCGGTTTTTTCAATTCGGTACCGGACTTTCTGTTAGGTTCGGTTCGATCAATTTACTGGCCGAGTGAACACCCCTTAGGAGGATATCTATATCAGCCACATTCAGTGAATTTCAACGGATTACATCTTATTAATTATACAATATGTAGATTCATACGAATTTTACACACAACACACACATACAAGTATCCGATATATTTCACCAACGGTAGCATAATAGAAGGATACCAATCATCAACTTAAATATTGATCCATCACATTGTTTGATGTGGTTCGTTATCTATTCCTCATTTTCATTTTTTTTTCTCTACAATGAATGGTATTTATAATCGATCATTTGATTTTTTAGGGCAAATTACGGCAAACCCCCTGAGGTAAGTTTAAATTACGAAAAAATTCCTCCTGTTTGGGTAATTACAACCACCTCCATCAACTATGTATTGTCTTACAGGTCCACCATTACAGTGTCAAATTTATCAACTGAATGAGGATTTTGTTTGTAAAAAAAGATATATCCAAAGCCGAAGGGGTAGTTATAAGTAGGGCCAGGGCCGTTCCTGAGATTTTGGGGGCCCTAGGCGAGATTTGAAGACGGATAAAAATGGGGCCCCTTCTACAATCTGCAATAAAACTTTTTTTTTATAAAAGGTGATAAACTCTATTTTAACTCGATTTTGTAAGGTACATAGCCAGTGGCACGATTAAAAATTTGTGATATAGTAGGATTAAAGTTTACGGGGGTTCGGGGGCAGCGCCCCCGATTTTTTTAAGGATAATTTGCATGAAGTAGCACTAAAACAAGTAAATATATATAAAAGTAAATAACTAATACATTACAAATTTAATAATTAGTGGTCTCTCATGATTAGAGGAATTCTAAAAACAAGTAAAAATCGTTGATAATAGCTATTTATGAATTAAAATTCTCAATAATTATATATATAATATATTTTTTTTCAATAAATGTTCATATATAAAGGGTATAAAAAAATTCGGGGCCCTAAATTTTTGAAAAAATCCGGGGGCCCTAGGCGACCGCCTACTTCGCCTCCCCTCAGAACCGGCCCTGAGTAGGGCTGGGACTGGGTTGGTTTTTATCCACCAACCGATCCATTACCGACCATATTTATAGGCGGATAATCAATTTTTAACCGATCCATTGGATCGGGTCGAAAATTTCAACCAACCCATCTATAATGGGTCGGTTGGTGGTTTCTAATATTATCAAAAGTTGGTTGACCGATAATTATCGGTTATCCAACTATACTATTAAAATTTTATTAAAAATATAAAATAAAGCCCGTGTTTTCTTAAGTGGTTATTAAATTATCAAAATAATTAGTATTTTAAATTTTAAAACAATCAACAAAGGAAAAAAAATTGACCTAAATATTCAACCAGTTTCTTTATGCCCAAACTTAAACAAACGCGCACAAAAATCCACTAAATCTCTTGTGTATGTTTGAAATTACTTTGAGTTTCCTAATTATATTTTTTCCGTAAATTGTTATTAATTATTTTGAACTGATAAATGATGATCGCATCGTGACATTACGCAAAATGTGGATATTTTTACTCCAAATTTTGATTTTTTTCAAGTGAACTAGGTGCGGGTATAAACCATCAACCAACCCATTCCGCAACCAAATATTCAGTTGCCAACCATCAACCGACCCACAAAGGTTGGGTCGGCAACGGTTTTCAAATTTTAGCAAAAATGGTTTGACGGATGGGTCGGTTCTTAGGCTGGTAATCGACCGACCCAACCCAGTCTCAGCCCTAGTTATAAGTACCCAAATGAGAGGGGAATTTTTGTAATTCAACATTACCTCTGGGGTCTGGCCGCAATTTTCTCTATTTTTTAATGCCAAAATAGAAAAGACAATGTCATTTGTGTATTGGGCCCAACCCTGACCCGGTTTAAATTTAATTCCTGATGAACCGACAGATGAATCATGAGGGGGGCCTTGGTGGGCTAAGATTTTCGACCCAATTGTCAATCAAATTCAAAATCACTTTTTTTAGCTACTAAAAATATACGAGTCAAATTAATAATAATTGTTTATTAGTTCTACTTCTTTTTTTCTTTTTTTCAATGATGAATTGAAATAATAATGAATATTATTTTTCTAAGAAATTAAAAGGAAAAGAAAAAAAGGGGATGGGCCCTTATATTATTCGGCAATGATTTGTTCCTTCCGTTGCAATTTAAATTTTGGATAAGTATTACATTGTTTAGTATAGAATAGTGTATGAGTGGTAATTATGTAATATATTTAGTATTAGGGGTTTGTTTTTAATGGAGTACATGTTAAATCCCCAAATTACCCCCCGCCGGTTGCGGTGATCTTGTGAAGGATTAACATAGTCGGGATGGAGAATTTCGACCGTCGTTAGATTTCGAGGCATTTGTGTGTATTTAATGCATTATAAATCTAAGGTATATGCAGACGCGGATTATCATAAGTGTACCCGACCCAACTTGGCCCAAGTTATTTTTTCTCGTGTTGTTTGTGAAATTCAAAATCGTGAAATCGGACAATGTGTATTCGACTTGTGTGGGAGTAAGTTGTGGGCTCGAAGAAGGAAAATTAAAAACAATGAAAAGGGGATTTATGTATTTGACAATTGAGGATTTTAAAAATAAGTACAAGGTTTAACAATAATACTTTATAGGGCAATTGACATTTTGTACCCTTAAATTACATGTTTTTTGCACTTTGTAAACTTAAATTAAAAAAAATAGCAGAATGCACCCTCCAATTACTAATTGCTTGACAAAGTGCACCGTAACTCATCTTTTGGTTAAAAAAAGTAACCGACGTCTGCGATTTGTTAAGAGTCCAACTCGTTTCATTAGATTTGGCCCATTATGCCAAATCTAGGCCCATCACACGATGTACAAGATTTGTATATTACATTACATTCAATCCGAGCATGTTTCATAAGTTATAAGAAGGCATTCAAAACTAAGAAAATTCATATAAATAATAAATTAGGCCCCGTTTCGTTGCCAATATAAGCCATGATTAACTAAATAGTTGGACTTAATTTGATGTTTGGTATCCTCAATAAATTGTCTGGTCGACCCGCCAAAATTATATAATTATGGCTTATTTTGCCTTATCTTGTCTTCTAATGAGCTTTTTTTGTTGGACGTTTCAAGCTCCAATAAAATAATTAGGTCTCATTAAATTATTTAATCTCATCTTGGCTAATCTTATCTTGCCAACCAAACGGAGCCTAAGATGCGCATTGAGAGCTAAAAATCCAACTGGCATGAGTTCTATCAGCAAAAGTTAAGGCAATGTTGACACAAAATAAGTCATAAGAGTTAAATTTGCAGAAGAGCACCGGATAAATTATGATTTTTTTCTCTACTTCATGGTCGTTCAACCCACTCTTGCATCTCCGACTACTACAAAACACCATTTTTTCTATTAAGGAAGATCCGCAGACAACAATCCGACTAATCAGACTATTGCGGTGTTCCTGTCGATTTTTCATTTAAGGAAGATTCGCATCAACTAATCCATTATTTCAGAAAATTGCTATTGATAAAAGAAAGAAAAATCTGCAGTTTTTCAATCTCTCAAAACAGGTAGCCCGATCGCTTTTTTAATCAGACGGTGAACTAGGGTGCACTTTGCCGATAAATTGGTAATTGAAGGATGCATTGTGCTATTGTTTCAGTTTAAGGGTACGAAGTGTCGATACATGTAATTTGAGGGTGCAGAATACCAATTACCCTACTTTATATTGTAATAATAAATATGGAACAATATAAAACTCCCTTGTCAAATATAACGTCAAACAAGAACTAATATATAGAGTTATTACAAAACTTCCCTTGTCAAATATAATGTCACACAAAAACAATGAGCTTAACATATTTATTAGCTAGCCTTTCAAATTGCAAGCTTGGAGAGTAGTACATTAAAATTTATATTTAAAGAATTATCTATGTGTAACACAAATAATCTAGTTATTGATTGATGATATAGAACAAAATATTAGAAATAATAATAATAATAATCATCTTATTAGAAGAATCCCTTTTTGCTTGAAGAAGCACGACGGTTCGATGAGAATACGGTGAGTAGAGCCATAAAAACAAATCCAGCAAGGAGAAGTCCAGTCGAAACAGTGCCCATGTTAAGGAATTTTAGGTCTTTATCGCCTAATAATTCGCCAAAAGTTCTCTTAAATTCAAATGTCACTCCAAATCCAACACCAACTCCACTTGCCAATAAAAATGCAACCACCTAGAGAGAAAAAAAAATCAAAAAACCAAGAAAATTATGTTTATTTGATAATTGTACTAAGAAAGTTGAAATTCATTCAAATAAGTTAAATACATTTGTTATTATAAATTCTAAATTTTAAACCTAACTCAATCTAAATGAAGTTTGAAATGTACTTTTTGAAGGACTATAAGCCAACATCGGTTCAATAAATCGAATCATCGATCGAACCGTATTAAATCACCATTTCATAACATACTGCGACCGCAATTCGGTTCATTCTTGTAACGTAAATAAAAGTATGATAAAAATTATATTACTTATGACTTTTATTATAGTTTAAGCACTTCGTAATTAACGAACTGATCAAACGCAATCTTTTAGTTTTCATGTACAACATACAAAATTAGTGTACCGAAATTTAGGTGCGATCGATTTATTAAGGCTTTCACGAAACGCACACACAACGATAAAAAAAAATAGTTAGAAAAAAGTGAGAATTGAAATGAAATTAGAACCTTGTCACCATAGAAGTCAAATTCTTGCAGACAACCATTTCGTATCCATCTCTTCTCTTGGACAACATTGTATATTGCAAATGGGATCTGAAATATTGTGTACAAAAACCCTATTGCCCCACATGCAAATACATACCTGCACAACACATATATTTATATCAATTGCACCTAACCCCCTGTGTAATTTCAAATTGCTGAAAAAGTCCTCATGTTAATATTTTTTAGAAAAGAACCCCTATATTATGATTTACAAAGCACACTGCCCCTTTCTTCGAAATTGGTTATGGACTTACACGAAATGACTAAACTATCCTTAATATTTTTTAGCAGTATTCGCACTTTAAATAAACAAAATGTAAACATAAATATACTAAATATAAAAAATCACCCACACCCACACTATGAAAACTTCATTTTGGGCATATGAAAATTTCGGGGTGAATTTGTGATTTTCGAAACTTCTAATTTAAAGGGTATTTGAGTCTTTTCAAGTCAAAAAACGCACATCCGCGAGTGTGTCCCACGTCGAGGTCGCACGGTCCTTATTGTCTTTGACTGATTTTCATAGGGGGGTTTGTGCTAATTACTTTAATAAAAGATTTTTTTCAGCAATTCAAAATTTCACTAAGGCAGTCCTTGCAAAAACCCCAAATATTATAGTACAATTAAATAACAACATTCAACCAATTAATAATTTTTTTTCCAAAAAAAATAAAAATGAGAGAGTTACCTAAAAGCTATGACATCAGTGAACTTAGTTTTGGTGGCATCTTCGTCTGTGTAATTATTGAGTGCCATAATCACAACTGATGCAGCTAGGGCTAGCAGAGTTAAGATTCTCAGGGACAGAATCGTCTTTAACACTGCTGCTGAGCTCGCCATTGTTTTCTCTTTCTACCACTTCTTGATTATATATTATTTATGATAATTCTGTTTGTTTTGAAGGTAAGATTAACTAATAGCCCCTTTTTATTGGACAGTATTTCGTAAATATCGATGTTAATTTTATTTTTTTTATTTTTTTATTTCAAATATTGGAGCATTGTAAGCTTTGCAGGCCAATTGGAAACTTCGTTGCTTGGTTTAATAAATCACAATAAATATTTCAAGGCATCATCTAGTAGACAAATATTAGGGTAAATTTCGCTTTTCTTCCTTAAACTTTGGTTGGATATTACTTTACCTCATTTTACTTTCAATTGTATCGATTTGCCCCTTGTAATTGAAAATTTGTCTTAATGTGATCATCTAATAGACAAATATTACAAGGGTAAATTCCACTTTCCCCCCTTGTACTTTGGCTCGATATCACTTTACCCCTTCTACTCTTAATTGTATCGATTTGCCCCCTATAATTGAAAAATTGTCTCAATGTGGCCCTCGCTTTTAGTTTTAGTTTTTAGACATTTAACATTAACATCATTTGATCTAAGTCTGAAAATTACAAAAAAAAAAAAAATCACCCCTCCCTGTTTAAATAATTATTAATTATGCATTTAGTGAATCATGAGGGGCCTTGGTGGGCTAAGATTTTCGACCCAATTGTCAATCAAATTTAAAACAATTATTTTAGTAACTTTAATTTTCGGCCCAATTGTTCATTAGTTCTAATTTTCTAATTTTGTATGATGATCATGGATCATTTTCTCTACTGAAATGAAATCATAAATAATGTACGGCTTTAAGTAAACGCATGTCATCCTTTTAATTCTTAATTTGTAAGCTCACTTCACACGTTTATCATCTCTTTAACTTTATTGTTTTAAATAATATTCATATATTTCACTCTCATTATATTTAAATTTAATTTTTTTAACTTTTAGAATTAAATTACGGGAATCATCTTCACTCAAAAAAATTCCATAGTTTTTTCTTGAAAAAAAAAAAATTAAGAGTTTTTGGGTGGTTTTCTTAGATTAAAAACACAAATGAAAAATGAAATTGTCTTTATTATTTAATTATTGTGCATTATGAATGATTTATTGCGTTTTGAGGGTGCAAAGTGCTATTATTATTTTTCGAGGGTGGAAAGTGTCTAAATAGTATATTTCAAGGCTGCAAAGTGGATTAAACCCATGTCCTTGTATCTTATACTATGTAAATCGACTTTACTTATTGAAGAGGGCGCTTACAACGAGATCGGATGAGGGTGTTTTGGACTCCCCCGTAAGCAGAAACAGTCAACATTATTTTTGACACGTCAGTGAATATTGAAGGTGCTTGCAGTTTAGGAGTCATAGCGAGAACAAGTTCGGGTGAATTAAGCAATCTCTCGATCCCACATGGCGCGAGACAAATAACTGGCAAATAATAGTGTTAGAAGTTGACTCGAGTTGTGTTATTTTTGCAATTGGTGAAACGAGATCGCATGCATCCTACGGCACCATCATTGACGATATAAAACGCATTGCTGCAGATTTTGGGGTTGTTTTGAGCTCAGCACATCGTTAGAGAAGGCAATAAAGTGACTCATGTAATAAAACTCATGGTTTTATTCAAAAAAAAAAAAAAAAAATCGACTTTATTTATTTTATTTTTCGATAATCTCTTGGACTGAAAATTTAATTTTGCACTTCCCAAAACAACTAGATTTTATTCCAAAAAATCCGAATCCCAATTCACACCCGTAACCAAACATTGATGATTGAACCCAACATTTCTCCTAACAAAAACATCATTCCCAACAAAACGTCGATTCAATTCCGAATTGATGATAGATATTCTTCCCAATCAACCGAACCCGAATTATAAAATTGACCCAACGTTACGACGTCGTATCATTGACGTCATCCCCCCGTCACCATCTCTCTCCCTCTTCTTTCTCCGTTTCTCTCTCTAACCATAACAAACCTCCGCTCTACGTAACGCCCTCTGCGTTAGTCTAGCGTAACCCCTCACGTTTCAAACACCACAATAATCACGCACTAAACACACACACACACACACACACACACACACTAAATGGCGGCGGCGGAGCCGCCGGAGCAGGAACCGGCGACGCCCAATCTCTGGGCGGAGCTGCTGAGAAAAATGCTGCCGGAAGGCGCCCCTCTGCCGGACGACGACCAGCTAGATTACTCCATTTCCGTCAATTACGCCGGCCCTCCCCCATTTTACAACCCGCCGCCGTTAAATTCCACCTTCCCCAAACCAAAATTCACCACCTTCCCCAAATACCCACCCTCCCTCTCCCCCAGAAACCCTGCCTCGTCCAAATCCGCATCCAGTTCCGACACCACCACCACCTCCGACAACTACATCAAACTCTTGAGCGCCGCTAGCTCCATCGCCTCCGACGACGGCGGTGCCGCTTCCGATCCCGGCAATTCCCCTCGCTCCGATCAGGTTACAACCGAAACGAAGCACGTAAAACGTGGAATTAAGAGCAGAAGGTGCAGAAGGTGCAGTAGGTGCAGAAATCGAGGTAAAGGAATTTTATGGGGGAAAGAGGGCTGCGTAGTGTGCGGAGCAGAGTACTGTAAAAAATGCTTGTTGAAGGCAATGGGATCCATGCCGGAGGGGAGAAAGTGCATCACCTGCATCGGAAACCCCATTGATGAAGCCAACAGGGCAAAATTGGGGAAGCCTTCGAGATTGTTGAAGAGAATCTGCAGTCAATTGGGGGTTAAGCAGATAATGGAGATGGAGAGAGAGTGCAGGGCCAATCAGGTGATGCCACGTCAGATCATCGTAAATGGCCGTGAATTGAGGGAAGATGAATTGGATGAATTGTTGGGTTGTAAGTTGCCTCCGAAGGGTTTGAAGCCTGGCAGATTTTGGTATGATGAGGATTCTGGGCTTTGGGGCAAGGTAACAGATTTTTTTATTTTATTTTTCAAAATATTGATTTTTTTTACAATTTATTTTATTTTGATTTGTTGGGATTTTTTTATTTAATTGAAGGAAGGAGAAAAGCCGGAGAGGATTATTAGTTCGAAATTAGATGTGGGCGGCAAGTTGCAGACCGGTGCGAGTGGCGGTAATACGAGAGTTTACATGAATGGCCGCGAGATCACTAAACTCGAACTTCGAGTGTTGAAGGTAATTATATAAAAAAAAAAAACTCCATTTTTCTTGACATGATTTAGAAATATTTTCTTGAAACCGACGTTTTTTAAAATGTCGACGAGTTTTTTTCTGAACGATTTGGTAAAATACTCGTCGATCCTAATAAACACATTCTGCATGTGGTTGCCACGTTTAGTGGTTTAATCGTAAATTCCGTTATTTGTTACTATGTTTATATATATTATAATCGTGTCGTATCGTTCTTTTAGCTGGCCAAGGTGCAATGCCCTAGTGGTACTCACTTTTGGCTATACGAGGATGGATCGTACGAGGAAGAAGGCCAAAACAACATTAAAGGGAATATTTGGGAAAAGGTTCCATTTCGCGATTTTTGTTTTGACGATTTTAAAGTGTTGTTCCAATTGAAGAAGATTGAATTGGGGTTTTTTTGTTAGGCAGGTCTCGGTTCGTTTCATTTCGTCGTTGTTCTCGTTGCCTGTACCACCACCATCACAAATTGCTAATCCTAAAAAGAAAGATCGTGTTTCGGTTATACCTAGATTGTTTTCCCCTGATTACTCGGAGCAGAATCGAGTCCGTAAGCTTCTTCTTCTTGGATTAGACGGCTCTGGAAAAAGTACCATCTACAAGCAGGTACAACATCGTAAACTCTATTCATACGTATCGTCTTTTTTTTTTTTCCGGTTTAATTTATTAAAGAATATACCATGAAAATATAGTCTCTCCAACGTAACAGGCGAAGTTGATATACGCAAACAAATTCAGTTCTGAAGAGATGCAAAAGATTAAGCACGTAATTCAAAGTAACATGTACAGATATCTCGGTACTCTGCTCGAATGGAGAGAGCATATCGAAGAGGAGAGTTTCGATAGGTCTGTACGAGGTAGTTTACTCTGCTTTCACTCATCTTTATTACAACAATCTCCGTTTTTTTTCTTGTTCTTGATTTATTGTTATTTTTTATTTTATTTTTATTTTATTTTTATTTTTTTTTGTTTTTCAGGAGAGATGGAATTTAATAATCAAAAAATCAGTGACTTCTCTGATTGGTTATTGAATCTAATGGCTAATGGAGAGATAGATATATATTTTCCTGCTGCTGCACGGGAATATTCTCCTCTAGTTCATGGAATCTGGAAAGATCCTTCTATACAAGAAACATACAAGAGAGTAAAACAACTTCAATTAATTCCAGATGTCGCCGAATATTTCCTAAACCGGGTACGATTCTGATCTCTATATTGAAAAATACTAGCTTTTCGAGAAGCAGTGAGGGGGCCATGGCCCCCCCTCACTAACAGTATTCACTAATTTTGACAGGTCATCGAAATATCGAGGAATGAATACGAGCCTTTGGAGGAAGACATTCTATTAGCTGAAGGTACAACTCCAAGTAACGGTATTGCGTGCACCGAATTCTCATTCGAATATCACAGTGCAGTTTCTCAGATATACGACGAAAACCCGAAAATCCAACAAACAAAGTAAGCCACTAGTTAATCGAAACGTTATCTTTTATTAATTCTTCGAAAACACACTTACCATATTATTGCACATTCTTTCTCAGGTACCAATTGATCCAGCTCAGCTCTAAGGGGCAAAACCGTACATTCAAATGGCTAGAAATGTTCGAGAACACGAGCGCCGTAATCTTCTGCATTTCTTTGATCGATTATGACCAACACGATAAAATGATCGAAAGCAGAGATTTTTTCAAGGCTATAGCAACGCATTCTTGTTTCGTGGGGTCGCCCTTTCTTCTACTGCTAACAAAATACGATTTATTCGAGGATAAAATCGAGAAAGTCCCTTTAACCGTTTGTGATTGGTTTCGGGATTTTAAACCATTAAAGACTCGTAATCATAGTAGTAAGAGTCCTCTGGCACAACAGGCATTTTACTATATCGGTATGAAATTCAAGAAGATGTATACTTCTCTCACGGGAAAAAAACTGTACGTTAACCAAATCCAGGCTCGTGATCGAAAATCGGTCGATGAAGCGTTTAGATATATACGAGAGATTATTGACTGGGAAGAGCAGCAGAGGGAGGATGAAGGTATTTATTATACTCTAAGTGACGACGATATGTAATCTAGAAAGTCCTTGTCTTTGTTTATATTTCTCTCTCTTTATTTCCCAGATTAGAGAAGAAAAAAAATCCAAATAGAGGTTATATTAATGGGGCCTTAAGATATAGGTCCCTCGTGACAAAATTAATTAGAACTAAATGACAAGTCCAATTAAATCTTTGCTTCACATCCTTTATTAAATTCATTCCAAAAATGCCCCTCCACTTACAAATTTAAAATTTGCATTAAATAAAATTCAAACTGTATTTATCATTTTTTATTATGCATTCCATCTAACATATTCTTTTTCGTTTTTCACTCTAGCATTTTTACATTATTATAAGCAACTTAGGTTTTTTTCCTTATTTTTAACATTTTATTAAAAATTACGAAAAATAATATTTTTCGTTTTTGTTAAATAGTACTGCAGATTTTAAAAGTAGTGTACTATCGTATACTATGGCGTACTATAGTATACTAATATTGAAAATTATGAATGTTTTTTAAACAAAATCGGCCGTAGTCATCGATAGACACCTGTAGTAACCATAGTAATCCGTAGTCACGTACTCTTAAAACCCTAGCTCCCATTTTGAACCCTAACCGCTACCCATTCGTAGACACTCATAGTAATCCATAGACAATAGTAGTCATACGCACTCATCCAATATGAAACCCTAGATCCGCCACAACCTCCACCTATGAAAATGGATCTCCGAAATCTGCCCATAATCATCGAACATTTTTTCTCTTCTTCTATGTCTCACTTTTCATTATAATTAGCCTTCCTCTCCTCCAAACACAATATCAAATTACGACTACGTTGGAGTATTAAAGAATACACTAAAAAATCTAATTCTGACCTACACAAACTGACTAATGTGGAGAAAAACAATCTTGAAATCAAGAAATGATTAAGCTACATTTAAAAGTCCCAAAACAAAAAAAAAAATAAAAAAAATTCGTCGGCGTTGAAGAAAATCACCACCGACGTAAGCGTCCAAAACCGCCTCCGCCTCTAACGACCACAATCACCGCCGCTACCCGCGACTAAAAACTGCCGCCGTCCGCCGCCCCACATCGAGATCCGATCTGAATAACTTCTCCTATAACGAGTACCTCCAAGTCAGGCCACTACTCCAGAGAGAGAGAGAGAGAGAGGGGGGGTGTGGGGCCGATGAAACAGAGAAGAGGCCATGGTGGGATGAAAAAAAATTGAAAGAAAGAGAGAGAAGTTGATGGTGGGCGGCAGTTTAGAGAGAGAGAGAAATAGAAAATGACGGAAAAAATAAGGGTTTGTTTTTTATTAGGTATAAGGGTATTTTTGGGTTAAATAAAAATAAAAGGATGAGAGTCAAATTTTATTTTCACGTAAGGATTTAATTAAAATGTTTTATTTGAGGTTTTGCCCCACATCTAATTAGGTTTGGTTTGAGGGGTGTCTCCAATATTAACCCTATATTAATTCGTTATTCCAATATTGAAAATTTCCATTCTCATGCAAATTGGGGTCGAACAATAAATCACCATGTGACAAATGAGAAGTATTCACGATTATAATCGAATAAACGGAATGGTCTAAATTTGGTTTTTGAATTCGACAGGATCGAAAAATATGTAGACGATGAATAACATTTAGTTTCGTGTTGCTACTAATTACTGGTCCTTGTACCTCTTCTCCACTTCCTCCATGCTCTGAATATCCTTACAATACTTGCAAACACGGTAAATGAACCTGTATCAAAAATAAATACATGAAATTAAAAATTGCAGGCATGTGAAAATTAATGCTCGATAATTAGCTTGAAAACTAAACTCAAGAAAATGAATTACAAAAAAACGACGAGTTATTTTACCAATAGAGGAGACATGCGACCGTGCATAATATTGAGTTCCTTTGAGATTTGTAGATCTGCATCAACACCAGAGATTTATTTAATAAACTAAATTTACCCGATAAAGACTACAAATTCAATCGATTAAGATGACGTGACGTATAAGCATTCGTTATAACTTATACATAAGACCCTCAAAAGCTTTTGAAAATATCAAAATAATAACTTAAAAAAGTTGTACATAGATGTATAATGATTAATGAACAAAAAATGTTCGACTCGTTCAACAAGTTCTCCTCGAACTTATTCGGCAAATCTAAGTATTAATATCGCACATATCCCATTATCCCTTAATCTTAACTTCGTTTTTATTTTACTAATTCACACTGTTTTTTTTTTCTTGCAAAAAAGGGGCCTCAAATTAGTTCACTGATTTGCATGAATTATATATCATATTCGAGAACAAAGATTTCGAAAACTTAACAATGAACAGCACAATTACAAGTTTCATAACATCATCTCGTTCTATTGCATCTAACATAACAATAAATTTTAGGTCGCGTATACATTTAATTTCATCGTTCCTCCAACTCAAAATATATAATCAACATTTTAAAACAAAGCGCAATGAAATTGGAAAAAAAAAATAATAATTAAAAATTGATTTTACCGATTTCTCATAACGATCCCTCTCAGAAGCAGTGCAGACATCCCCAGTACACATCAAGCGGTGTTCGTTCTTCCAGTATATATCTAATATCAACTCGAACAAAAAAAAAAATCAACGAAATAAACAACCACCAAATTCCCCAAAAATTAATGTGAATCAACAATCGATTTTGCAAAAAGCTACACAATAACCGAAATGAAGTAAGTAAACAACAACCAAACCCCTAATTATCGTAATGAATTCAATTCCGCAAACAACCATTTAAATAACTTCCCACTAAGCACACATACACATGTGTGTGTGTGTGTGTGTGATTATGTGCAGATCTAGGGTCAATAATCACCCGGTGTATTTCATCGGGTGTAGCATCAAATAAACCCTCAAAACAGCTACAAATTACCAAAAAAAAAAAAAATTATTGAAATAAACAACCACCAAATCCCCCAAAAACTGTAGTGAATCAACAATCAATTCCGCAAAACAGCTACAAATCAACTGAAATGAAGCAACAACTAAATCCCCAAAAATCACACTGAAACTCTGAATCGACAATCAATTCCGCAAAACAGCTACGAATTTCAGACGAAGAACGAATTACTACTTACCGAGGAGCTGAAAAGCAGAGAAGGGTATGATGAAAAGTGAAGGCTGGAGAATCAGCGAGACGAGAGATACGATGCGAGATTTAACAGCCTTGGGCGATGGGAGTGTCAAAACCACCGCCACCGCCGCCTCCGCCGCCACCACGTACGTCAGAATCATCCATTGCAGCCCCATTGTTTTTCCGATTTCTGAACTGAGTGTGTTCTGAGATTTCCCCCTTTTTCGGTTTCTTCTTCTTTGTTCTAGATTTGCTTAGTGCGCAAGGTTAGTGAAGATTCTTCTTTGGCAGATTGATCAGAGACTTTTGGTCGTTGATTTGATGCGCTTTAGTTTTTTGCAAAATATCAAAAACCACCCTTATGTTTTTATATATTATGTTTTCGGTCCCCTTGTATTTGCTTGTATATACCAATACTGCCCTTATACATTAACTTTTCGATTTCGGCCGATGCTTAATTTTGTAATTTTGAAATAATTTCCAGTTTTTTCGAATATTTTTAGATGAGAAATGGTACATTACTTTCGGAATTAATAATATCCGAAAAAATAATTTCAAAAGTTTCTGATTTTTTTTTTCCAGCGAACACATTTTATATATTATATGTTTATATTCTATAATATATATTATAGTTCATAAATTAAATTAAATATCTAATAAGTTTAATATACTTCAACATTTGTGATTGTGGTATTTTTTCTCCATATAAAATTTTAGTAGCTCATACGTTTTCTCTTTTTTCTTTGATTATCCAACATTCAAATTGTTCGCCCAGCAGCACGATGTTTGTATTGCTCTCCCACAATCTCGTTTCACACTTTAGGCTATTTTCATTTCGCTCACCGCTACAGTACGGGATCACTATTTATCAAGTAGGCGTTCTTCACAAAAAAAAAAAATGAAAAGTTACATGATTTTTTGGTATTTTAAAAATATTGAAATTTCGAAAACTTTGGGAGTTGGAAATCAGTGTGAGATAAATTATTTACAAAATCAAAAGTTTTCGAATTCATAACTTGTAGTCTTTGGGCAACGAAATGGCCATAAGAAAACCAACACTCAATCATAATAGAAAAGAAAGTTCAATTAGTATTTTAGTTCTTTTTCTCTTTTTTTTTTTCAATGAATGGAAGTTTGATAAGATCTTTTGGAATTGAAAAATAAAAATTAATACTAGAAAAATATTTTGATTACATAAAATGAAATAGTTGACCACATATATAAGTTGAGATAATGGAGATTTTAGCCTCAATAACCGTAGATCTGCACATAATCACACACATAATATGTGTATGTGTGCTTAATTGGAGCCTGGAGGTTATTTGATCTCATCTACGGTTAACACTCACCCAATGTAAATAATCAGGTGTAACATCTAATTCCGAATAAGTATTATTGAGAAGGAGGTTGAAAATAAAGTAAGTTGCAAATTAGTGAATAATATTTTAAACAAATTATTTTTTGGATAAAAAACAGTAATAATGTTCAAATTATTCGTGGAGTTTTTTTTCTTTTTCTAGACAATTCGTGGAGTTTGAACAAATGTAATTAAGTTATTTCTATTATTATTTAGGGCAAATTATGGTCACTTCCACTGAATTATGACCAAATTACAAAAAACCAACTCTTATTTGGGTAATTACAGCTACTCCCTCCTTTTAAATATATTTACATAAAATTTATGTAATTCGGCTATTTACCGAATCAAATCGTATATTCAGTTCGGTAAACGGTATGAAATGTTGGCATACTGAAATTTGAAATTTCGGTTCTATTTTATCGAATTAATATCTCTAAATTTACCTCTGGGTGAGTCTTTTCGTACGATAATCTGTAGTTGAGGGTGGCTGTAATTTGAATTATTAATTATAAACATAAAAAGTATGAGATAATAAATAAGATAACATATAATTCGTTAGATTATATAATAAGATAAAAAAAAAAGGAAAAGAAAAATAATATATACCTCATGCATGTAAGTCTGAGAAATTATTTTCAGTAAGTATAAATTATGTCGATTTAATGATGACAAACAATAAACATGCCAACGTTAATTCCACACGCCAACGTTAATTCCACACGATTTGACTCGTTCAAAACTCAGTAGCTGTCAGATGTAGATATGTATTGGAATTTTGTATACATAAATTCTATTTATTTTTACCTTATGAAATCATCCAACAGGGAAACGCGTTCGAACAGTTGACTTTGCCAACCTCAAAAGTCAACTCCATCTGCTTCTTTAATTAATTGAATCATTTCCACCACAACCAATCCACACATTTACTCAACATGGGCAGGGTGACGGCGAACCCATCCCCCACGGCGGCGGCGCCCGCGGCGGCGCCACCAGCGTCTACAACGCTGAAGCACTTCACCCACCCCCACGAGCTCCACCCCACCACAATCTACCACCCGCAAACACTCTGCACGGGATGCAAGCTCCAAGCCAGTGGGACCATGTACACGTGTCAGCCCTGCAGCTTCACCCTCCACCACACGTGCGCCAAGCTCCCCCAGCTCATCACCCACCCCTCCCACGGCGGGTGCACCCTCACCCTCCTCGCCGCCGCCTCCTACCCGGGCGGCGCCTTCAGCTGCGACGGCTGCGGCCGCGGCGGCGACGGGTGGAGCTACCACTGCATCCGCTGCGAGTACGATCTCCACGTCAGCTGCGCCGTCAAGCCGCTGAAAATCAGGCACCACTCCCACGCCACGTGCGATCTCCAGCTGACTTTCAAGAACCCGTACGCGCACGCCAGCGGATTCTCCTGCGATATCTGCCGCAAAATCGGATCCAAGCAGTGGCTGTACCGCTGCAATTCTTGTGAGTACGACGTTCATTTGGGCTGCGCCGCCGCCCCTCGCCCGACGCTGCAGCAGCACCACTCGCTGCCGGCGAGCTCATCTCTCCATCATCATCATGATCAGTTTATGCACAGCGCAAGCAGCGGCGGGATGAACCCCGCCGCCCAAGTCAACGGCTTCATGGGGCCGCCGCCGCAGCAACATCCTCATTTGGTGCACAGTGTGAGCGCAGGAAACTATCCTTACGGCGGCGTTAATCAGGGTCAGTTTGTACCGGGTCAGGTTATACCGGGTCAGGTTGCTCCGGGTCAAATATATGGATCTGGGCCGGGAATTAACCAACAGCCGATGATGAATAATGGAAGTTCTGTGGGGCCCACTAAGCAGAATAATAATAATAATAATAATCAAGGTCCAAAGAATAGTGGGTTTGGAAACAATATGATGATGTCGGCAATGCAAGGACTTGTCGAAGGTGCGGCGCAGGCAGTGGCTCAGACCGTCGTGCAAGAAATGATTGGTGGCGGCGGCGATGGTGGTGGTAGTGGGTTTGCTGATGGTGGTGGTGGTGGTGGTGGTGATGCGGGCGGCGAGGATTTATATCCGTGCTAATTAATTATATGGTGTTCTTTCTTGAATATATATATATACAAAGGATTCCAAGGGAAGTTTTGCAAGTTTGATATCAAAATAACTCTAAATATTATTTAGATAATGTATTTTGATTGTTTGGGTGTTTTTGTTTTGAAAAAAAATAAATTTCATATTGTATTCTCTAGAATATATGTATATTGTTTGTGTCATTAATGAAATTGTCACTAATCTTTTTTTCTATTTCTATGTACTCCACTTCTTTTTCCCAAATCTCCGAGCCGTGATGTTAAGGAATCATGATATTTAATCAATTAGGGGTGACGGAAAAAAAACCGAACAAAAAACCGACGTCTAACCATTACCGATCGAATCGAGGCAACCCTCGCCATCCATTTTTCATATTTAGTTTTATTTATTTATTATTATTTCGACCTCGTCCATACATTTTCCACGAGTTAAATGCAAATACACCCCCTGTGTTAATTCTAAAGACCAAAAACCTCCCCGGGATAAAAAAAGTGACAAAAACCCCCCTGACAAGTGTTTAAACAAGCATACTCGACCCATTTTATTTTTATCCGTTGACCGCTCGTGAAAAGACGAATAAACCCTCGGATAAATCTGTCCAACCACAAAAATTTTATGACCCAAATGAAGTTGTTAAAATTTTCAATTCAGTCCCTAATACTTTCAATTATACCCTCTTCCCCAAATCAAAAAAAACACAGACACACAAAAACACACACTTTTTTTTTTAATTCTCTGCTCACCTCACTCACCCCACCCCACCACTGTCGTCGCCGGCTCCGTTCATGGGCTGAAACCTCTCTCCGGCAACCAAGAATTAAAAACATAAAACATTAAAAAAATTTCTAATTTCTAAAGCAAATTTCTAATTTACCCATAATCAACATAAAACATTAAAAAAATTGAAGCATTTTCACCCAGAATCAAATGAAGCATTAAAAAATTAGATGCCTTTCAGACATCTTCGACATACAAAAATGATGAAAATATCACATTGAACAAAGAAAAATCATGCACAGACCAATTTGATTCATCAAACCCTAATTGCAGCAGTACAAAAATGAAAAAAAAAAATTATCAAGCAAACTAATGAAGATCTAAATTATCCTCGCAGTCACGAACATAAGACATAAATATGCATTTCTCTCTCTACATGTATGTGTTTTAGAGAGAGAAAGAAGAGACCATCCATGGAGGCGCTTGTGAAGGTTGATTGTGTACTCCCTAGAGACGACCTCCTCTTTCCTCGCCTTGCTACCCTTCTCCACCATTGTTGCTACCCTTCTCCTCATTTTTTTTCTTCTTTCTGAATATATTTAAATATAATTTATATTTTTTTCATTTTATTTGTTTAAATTTAAATATTATTAAAAATTCATATTTCTATGCCATTTTAATTTTTTTTCGTTTTTTAATATGTTTAAATATAATTTATATTTTTTCATTTTATTTGTTTAAATTTAAATATTATTAAAAATTCATGAGTAGTTTAATTGTTTCATGAGTTTTGATTCAGAGGGGTAATTTTGTCCTTTCACGCACAACATGTACAAAAATCACACAAGTAATCGCACACACAGCGAGTGAATGACACGCATAAAGATTAGCGGGGTGTATGGCTTTGACTATTGATTACAGGGGGTTTTTTGTCACTTTTTTTATCTCAGGGGGTTTTTTGGTCTTTAGGATTAACACAGGGGGAGTTTTTGCATTTAACTCCATTTTCCACCTTCAAACTCATGGATTTTTTTTATCAATATGTTAAATTTGTGGTATATACATTTATTAAATGAATACTCATCCTATATTATACTTACATGATCATAGATTTATTAAATGGATACAATCATACAATGTAATACATGATAGGATACCAAAATTTAAAACCATATCACTATTAATTATGTTCGATAATTTAGTTGTTTTTTTTTTATGAAATTCATTTCCGAACTCTAATACGGATACTTGAAATATCTGAAATGATTTTTACGGTACTTAGATTAATGAATACCGTTCATTAACATACTCACATCACATATCCTCTCATAGTCATTTTAAATTCCAAAATCATTGACAATTTGAAGGTAGTTTCTACTCCAAATCACTTATGTGTCGACTAATTCATATTTGTTTTGTAATTACATGTTAATAACCTTTCTAAATCGAATTCTAGGTTTTTTTATTTTTTGAAGTTTCGGAGCTTGGACGCCTAAATTAGGGTGCAAAATTCAAAATCTTCACCCAATTTAGGCGTGAAAATGAATTTTAATTTGCACGCCTATTTTGGGCGTGTGCTTGGTGGGTGGGTGGACTCCTGCTTTGGGCGTCGATCCTGGAGGTGGACGACCGGTTCAGGCGTGGAACAGGTGTTTAACTACTGCACAACGAGAGCGTATGATACATAAGCGTAATGTGTATCCCGATCCCCATCCGATGCACTCATTTTTCGGGGTAAATTTCTTCAACGAGATGGCTTTAAGGACGATTGCTAATATAAAAGATCGAGAGGTTCTTTTTTAGAGAGATGATAGGAGAGTAGAAAGTGAAATATTGCAAACGGTAATTATCGGCCTCCACAAATATCTAGTCGATCGAGTTTTTCTGTCACGCCTAACTTTTATTACTCGATTTAGAGCCTGTTTGGCTAAGCTTATAAGCTCCTAAAAACATCTTATAAGATGTTTAAGAGCTTATAAGTTGTTAAAAAGTGTTTGGTAAAAAAATTACAAAAGATCTTATTTTTTCTAAAAATAAGCTGTTAAGGAGCTTATAAGATGTTTTTTTAAAAGTACCTCTACCCCACCTTTTTTCTTTAAGATCTTATTTGCTTCTTTACTAAGACACTTAAAATACAAAATTGCCCTCAAATATTTTATTATATTACATGAATACTAATAACATTTATATTTTATCAAAACAACGTATTCTTGTAATCAAGATTAATACTTAATTAAAATATAATTATCATAATAGTAAAAAAAAATATTCTCTATTTATATTTTATGTATATAAAAATATCCGAATATTCTTATTATCAGAATAATAAATTATATTTCTTTTGTCTATCAAAAAAAATTATATTTCTTTTACAACCTTTATTTTATATTAATATATTAATGGGACAAAAAAGTAAACTTTCACGTTTCATTAAAATATTTTATTACACTTCATTTATTTTAAAAAAATAGTCAAATATATCATATCAAAATACATAAAAAATCATTTAGTTTATTTAATATATAATTTAATATTATTATTTTTATTTGAAAAAATAATTTGTAAATATTATAATAATATTTTAGGAATAAAAGTATTTGAGTCAAATAAATTTAACAGTTATAAACTTATAATGACGTCATGTACTTTTTTGTCATTATAGCGATAAACAGATCTTTTATTTCCAAACACCTGAACAACTTATAAAAAATAAAAGTAACTTATAAGCTACATATCCAAACACCTTAAAAAATAATTTTTAAAATAAGATCTAATAGCTTATCAGCTCCTAAAACATCTTATCAGATGTAGGAGCTTATAAGATGTTTTAAATAAGCTTAGCCAAACGGGCTCTTAACCTATTGCCCTTATAGATATTCGCTTATAATTATTGAGAGCATATATAATGTAAAGTAAAGCTGCTCAAATCCAAAGTCCAGAAGAAACCTATTGGGCTGAGCTCGTAAAAACATGGAAACAAATATTGCTAAAGAAATATAATAAATCCCAATTTATGAACTGGGCCCATTTAATATTTCACGTTGGGATTTCACCATGCTTTAAACTAAGAGTGTGCACGATACGATTTAGTTCGGTTTTAGACCAAAACCGAACATGTACGGATACAATCGGGTTTCTAGAGAATGAAAATTCATATATGTCAGTTTATTTATATGCGGTGCCTAAGGGGCATCTCCTATCAAATGGGGGAGGAGTGGGGGTGGAGAGGGCTAAGGTGTTTAGTGAGTAGGGGATGGGGTTGGGGTGGCTGGGGGGTGAATTGAGCCCAGGCATAAGCCCTGGGCTCTGACGCGCCCCACCCTCTTGCGACATTCACGTTTTTTCTTTTTTTTTTTTCGTTTTTTTTACTTCTTTTTTCCTTCTCTTCCACGTAGGCCATCATCCCATTCTTTATTCTTTTCTTTTATTTTTTCTTTCTATTCTTTATTTATTTTTCATTTCTTATTTTTTTAATTTTAATTTATTTTAGTTCTCTTTTTTTTTGCTCTTTCTTTTTTCTTTATTTATTTTAGTTTTTTTATTGGTTTCTTTTATTTTATTTTAGTTTTCTCGTTTTCTTTTTATCTAATTCGATCTTTTTAATTTTAAATAGTAATTTTATTGCAAATATTCTATTAATTATATTAACATTACATGTTATTATATTACAAAATAGTTTTAGAAAATGACAATATAATTAATAACCTAATAATAGCACAACATTATTATTATTATTATTATTATTATTATTATTATTATTATTATTATTATTATTATTATTATTATATGGTGAGAGTGGTGATGGAAAAAATGGAAGAAAGAGATTGATCGATTGGACGAGAAATAGGTTAGGGTTGGGGTCAGGGTCGGGGGAGCCCCGGGGAAGCCGCCCCCGTCGACAGGAGATGCCCTAAATTAATTACAATTGTTTTCACTTATTTAACTGAACACTCTAATGAGTATGGCATAGGAATTTACATAATTTAGATAAATGTAATAGTCATTTCTTTTTTACTTTCACCAACTACAGTCTTCATGACTAAAGTCACTCAAATATAGATTTAATTAACGTATTATCAAATACCACTACTACAAATTTATGCACAAAAAGTTGGTGATTACAATTAGACAACCAATTTTCAGAAGTTCACTGCCGCATTTTATTAAAATACTTACAAAAGTTCACTGTCAATTTTCAAATTTGCTACCAACACGGCCAAATCAACATCTTATGATTGGTGTGTGAAGATGAACAATAAAATTTACGTTGTGTA